TGGGATCAAATCGATGATCTTGCGGGTCAACCGACAAAAGCTCAACGATAAAAGATTCTTTGATGTGCTTGTGAAAAATTGCGGCTTTTTCAACATAAACATATTGTAATCGTGACACTTGGACCGATGGTGATGAAAAAGCGATTAAGAATTGAGGTTATTTTATTAACTATTTTTGTATTTCTTGTGAAGATACTTAATTGGTGATTATAATATTGGGGCAAATTACAGAGTTTTTGATATAATTATGCTATTTTTAGTTATGGAATGAGTACGGAACACGTGTAGAAGAAAGCAAATGTCGGGAGGGAATCTTTGTGGAGTTGCGTGAAAGATCAGTTAACGCAAGAAGAGAATTTAGAGAACTTTTAATAAACTTAAAAGATGATAGAATGACAATTTAATATATAAGGTAAAAACTAGAACTGGTAATAATTAAACTGGTCATAGGAAGTTAAGGTTCATACACAGTATATTAAATAATAGTTCAACAGCGAAATAGGACAGAATGCAAAAATGCTGAAAATGTAATGGTTAACGAACCAGAGAATTAGAGAAATTATGAACCTAGATATACAACAGCAGATGATGTTAGAGACAAACATCTTATTTCGTTCAAACATGAAGAAGATGAAGAAGAAGAAGATGTGGTAATTCGAGAAGTCGCTGAAGAAATAGAGTGCATGAGGAGACATGACAGGCAGGGGCTTGGGAGGAGGATGCCTGGATTCTCTATTGAAGGAATCTACTTTAAAACTCAACTGTCAATTATTACGAGTGAAGTTAATGGTAAGTAGAGTGGCGTGCGTTCACATTGGTACTGTAAGAGTAAAAATTACTGTAATTAGACTAGTACCCAAGTTTCTAAAGTTAATGGGTAACTTGATAACGCATCTGGGGTGCCTTATGAAGATTTGCATTATATTGAGGCACCCTAGATGACGTCATAAAGTTATCCAGGCAACCTACCTCTCTCAAACAATCTTGGGCTAGTAGGTATACCTACTATTAGTGTATGCATCATACAGGGTGTCCCACGGTGGATGGCGTATTAGACGTTTATGGAGAACTAAAGAGCGGATCATTTTGAAAATTTGGCAACCGTGATAAACGACCATAATCTATACTTTAAAAATATTTTTGTTTATGCGGTGTTGCGCTTCTACTCTAAACCAGTGCCACCATCGCTATTTTAAATGGAACACCCTGTATGTGATTGCATATTTGGATTCTACGTTTAATTCTGAGCAGATTTCATGTGATATACCCTATACTTAAGTTCAACTGTTTTGGAAATATTGACAGTTGAAAATTGACTTTTTGCAACTTTGACAGGCTGTAAAACCTAAACGGTTAATTTTAGAGGAAAACCGATTTTACATTCCTATCTTAGATTTTCATAAGCTATCATTTGACACCAACTTTGAATTTAATCGGAGATTAAATTTAATTGGAATTTTTAATCATGGATTAAATTCATACTCGAATTCACAGTTGGTGTCAAATGATAGTTTATAAAAATCTAAGATAGGAATGTAAAATCGGTTTTTCTCTAAAATTAACGGTTCAGGCTTTACAGTCTGTCAAAGTTGCAAAAAGTCAATTTTCAACTGTTAATATTTGCAAAACAGTTGAACTTAGGTATAGGGTATATTACATGAAATCTGCTCAGAATTAAACGTAGAATCCAAATATGCAATCACATACAGGGTGTTCCATTTAAAATAGCGATGGTGGATAATTTTTGATTCGTAAATAGATGGCGTCACTAATGTACTCACTCGTTTTGTGGTTTTTGGTTGACGTAGTTTGTGTTTAGTTTAGGTTTTCGGCAGAAAATAAAGAAAACTCAAAGCCTCGTACTTTAAATCGGTTTTCCTGATCGGAAAAGCAGAAAATCCAAAGAAAAACCATTGAAAAATAACATTCCAAAGCCTACTTGATGAAACTTAAGTTTTTGTTACTTACCCCGTTGAAAAACTCGAAATTTTTGATACAAAATGAAGGAAACTCAAAGCCTCGTACTCGATTTTCCCGATCAAAAACAGTCCGAAAAAGTGGAAAATTCGAGGAAAAACTGGATACAAATGCAAACACGTCAAATGAAAATGGCCGACTGTCAAAAATGACAAATGATATTTATTACAAAGCCTCACATCAAAAGCGTTTTAAATGGGGTTTTGCTAATTATGGCATTTAAAAGTGGAAATTTTTGCTAGAAAATGAAGAAAACTCAAAGCCTCGTATGTTAAATCGCTTTTCTCCATTAAAAATCCCCAGAAAAGTAGAAAATTCGAGAAAAAACTGGCAAAAAATCACAAGCCGTCACTTCAAAATGGCCGGCTAAAAGCAACATTGCCACATTACATCTCAGAAAACAAAAATAACATTTTAAATGAGTTTTTTTGTTTAAAATTCAATTAAAAATTGTTAAATAAATAATAAATAATGATTATAATAATTAAAATTCCCTAGATAAAGCATCGGAAACTTGTTTTTAGTTTAATTTCAATGAAAATGACATTACAAGGTTTACTTGTTGATTATAATGAGTAAGACAAAGACAAGGATAAAGTAGATATGTTTGCAAAACCCACCGTTTTCTGAAAAAAGAAAAAATCTTAAGAAAACCCAATAGAAAACCAACATTCCAAACTCAACTTGATAAAACTAAAGTTTTTGAATATTCCCGGTTTCTGATTGGCTCCAAATTATCTGCTGACCAATAGAATTATAAACTGGGCCCCGTTGCGGCCCTTCGGGGTCTCGTATAACTCCGGCCCTTCGGGCTCGCGTATTACTCCGGCCTTTCGGGCTCGCGTATAACTCCGGCCCTTCGGGCTCTCGTATAACTCCGGCCCTTCGGGCTCGCGTAAAACTCCGGCCCTTCGGGCTCGCATATATTTAACAGTTTTCCCGATCGAAACCAGCCTGGAAAAGTGGAAAATTCGAGGAGAAATTGGATAAAAAAAAACTTGAAAATGGCCGACTGTCTAAAATGCCAAATGACATTTCATTACAAGACCTACTTGATCAAAAGCGACGTTGCCATAATTACAATCTCAAACATAATGTTTTTCCAGATTTTAGTGAGTAGAACAAAGAAGAAGATAAGGTAGGATACATTAGTGAAAAACCAAAAGCGATTATAAATGAGTAAGATAGAGAGCGAGATCAAGTAGGAAACAATTTAACTGATCATTTGGTCGAGCCAAACTATCATCAGAGTAAATTTTCGATTGTTTCCGGTTCAAACACTTGGAATAATTACTCAATTTTTTTTTTGACAACTGACAAAGCCTACATACAATATTATGACTTTTAACAATTGTCGAGTTCATTTTCAGGACCACCTACGATTGTTATGACTTTGTCAATTGACAGCCTTGTGATTCAGATTGAGGCCTACAACAGCAACGTTGTTACATTTTAACGGTAATTTTGGAGCATTTGTAATAATTATAAATGTAAAACGTTGACAAGTGGCAATTGACATCAAGAAACGATTGTTATGATGTTGTAGGCTGATTGAAATTTTTTACTTTTGGCAACACTGTAACGCTAGATGATTGAAATGGCGTTTTTTTTTTTTAATCATGAGCCCGAGTGTTTTCAATCTTGAGCCCACAGGGCAACAAAGAAACGCCATTTTGTATCGAGTTTTAAAGAAAACAAGGCCTACTTTGAAACGTCAATTTTTTAACGTTTGTTGTATCATATAAGCAGTATTGCCATATGTTTTTTTTCAAATCTCCAGCCTGAATGGCCGGTGTTGTTTAAATTACGTTACAAGTCCGAAGGGTCGAGGTTATACGAGCTCTAAGGGCCGGAGTTATATGAGTCCATTCATTGTCAACTGATTTTAATACCTATTATGAATATTACAGGTCTGTGATGCACTAAAGGAATCAGCGTGTCCTCCCTGGCCGACTGTCCGGATAAGCCGCTCTGGTACAATATTTCTTTAATTTTGGTACAAAAAATTTTTGCTCTCTGGCAACACCGAGTGTGTGTTGTGTGTTTGCATTGTAAATTTATTATAAAACTGTCATCTGGTAAAATGCAAAATGCTATGCTCCTTACGACAACGAAACAAAGTATAGTAGGAAAGTGCATCACTACTTGTTACCAGTAGACCGAATAGTTGCTGGAATCATTGGGTAAACCATCACCCAAATTAGTGCCTAAGTACATACATAAGCATATTATCAGGATCTACTTAGTTGAAATTTCTATGGATTGCTATGGCCAAACCCAAAAAAAAAATCAATTAAAATTCGCCCAGTCATTGAAATGTCAAAATTCAAAACAGAAATAATTTGTCAAGTGAATTCGAACTAGGAAGACCAAACCTAACAATTTATTAACTAAAATGGTCCGACTGTTCTATACAAGTTTTAGATGTTTATCTTTTTTGGTAAGAACCGCGTCTTTGGGTTTTTACCAGTCGGTGTTTTGTTTTCAGATCATTCCGATTGATTATTATAGAGAGGAATGTTGAAGCTAATAGAAACAGAAATACTTTAATAATTGGGAAAACATCAAAGCATTCAACAAATACAAACGAAACTAATCAAGTAACTAACATTTGAAGCAGTTTTCAAGGTTCAACAATTTTTATAATCATCGAGTAACAATTTTTTAGCAATAAAAATCAAGCGTTAACGAAGTAAAACACCGTAATAAAAAAGTAAAAATCCTCACGCGGCGCATTTTAATGATCGCAACTATAAAACTCGAATAAAAAATGAATTTTCATTCATTTAAATCGCATAAATTTTAATTAGATTTTTATATTATGCATTATTGTCCTTTGCACTTAACACTTTATGCCATTTTAATCGACTTTATAAAACAATTTATGCCTACTCAATACTTTCACATAAAACACGTGCAATAATTACTTATTAATACATATCTAGTAGGATCTACTGCTTTTTTTTTGCAAATTAAATCTACAATAAATCTAATAAATAAATAAAAAAATAAATTGTACGTACCAGAAAATCAATGGACTTGTCTTTTAACTGAAAATAAAAGACACAATTTTAGAAACAAATTACAAATTAACAACTTTTTTAAATCCTACTAGATATGTACAAATAATTTTTGTATAATCAACGAACCAAAATGTTGTTTATTTACGTATAGAAAAAAAAATGGTAAATTGAAAAATAGGTACCAACAACTTGAAAATTAAAGGGAAAAATGTTATAAATTAAATACAAAAGAATTCTCAAAGAATTTATAAGTAATATTTTTTGTATTGGTCTATCAAATCTGCTTTCAAATCAGAACCATTAAATGTAGGTTTCTACTTATAATTATATCCATCTTAAGTGTTTTTATAAGCATGTAGATACTTTCAATTGTGACATCTTGAAGTATTTTCTGATTAGTAGTGGATACAGTGACATTTCCAGTATTATCACCATTCTTTCTGCTGGAATCATGGGATCTTGACACTGTGCAAAAGCTGATTCGAGGCATTGGAGGATTATCAGTCAACGTTACACAAAATTCCAATCAGATGTAGGGGATTTTATTTGATCATAATATCAACAAGTAAATAATTTTTAGTTTCTACAGCTTCGTATATGCATCCTAATTCTGAGGAATTTCAATATTAATCAGGCTAGAAAGATGGTAATGACAATGTATCAGACAAAGACATAATCACTAAAAACATTTGATAATTTGACGTAACATTGGAACTAAAAGAAGAAGTGGAACGGATTAAACAGCACAATCATGGATTCAGTAGCTACTACACCAGCTCGTCCCACCCACAACTTCACATCACCGAGTCCACTCCAGTTTATGGCAAACAAGAACAGTTTCTTGCTGATTCAGAATCGTACTTGAGTGCAATTATTTTGGAGTAAAGTTGGTGATGCAGATGTTCTAAGGGTGTAAATAGCGTTGGAAGAATCTTAACACTGTCTACTCAGGATGTTGATGTGGTAGTTAAAAAAGAACATGCCCCACCACAAAGGCCAGTTGTTCTACTAAAGCCATTAGGACCAGTGAAGAAGAAACTATTATTTTTGTAGATTGTGTGCGCACTGAACCTGAGGTTGAAAATTTAGGTAAACGACTCGTTCTTATTTTGTATGGTGGGTAAGATAACAAACTACCGGCACGTTGGTACTTAATGATCGAAGACACAAGTCAACTTACGCAGAACCAGCCACGTGGTGTTGAGATGGAGATTGGATGGGTGACCTCAGAAGTACGGATCGATAGGGCAAGCAATGCCAACACTTTAAGTATGAATAGGAACGAGTCTGAATTTGGAGCTGAAGAAGTGTAAAGTATGAGTTCGAAAGGGTAGAACGAACATTTTTGTCCAAAGCAGGATTGACATCTGACCATGAATGCAGCTAGTTACATTGCAAAATCAATAGTAAAGGACCCCGCAATATTTGAACGGAAATTGGTTACCCGTGATATTTGGATGAAATTTTAATATGTTATTGGGGATGCAGTAAACAACATTTTTTACCATAGGCGCAACCTTGTACATATGACAGGTGAGGCGGTATCAGCTGTCAAATATTGGAATCTAATATTCAAAAGCAAGGTAACTATGGCAGATTTCGATGAAGTAAATACCGATTTCTACCAACTCGGCCAAGGTAAATCGAAAAATGTCAACCATTTTGACATCTGTCAAAACCTTGCCAAACAGCACTCTTATTTTTCAATTTTCAATATCATCGTGTTGTTTACATTCAGGTTACTGATAGAAATTAATGAAAAATTACTCATTTTGTCACATTCTGGACATTTAGGTTCGACATTGGCATTGTCATATTGGCATATTTGGCATCTACATCAATAAGGGCCCTGAACAAAAATGGTTTTTTTATGAACGTTACCACAATTTGACCTGAACGGCCATATTGGAATAGATTGCCTACTAATGTAAATGCTGAGTTCAAAAATTAAAGAAAAAAAAAATAGAGAACTGTCAAAACCTGACATTTATTTTAGTAGGAAAAAAGATTCATGTCTGGTTCTTTTTTGTTTTAATGAAATTTATTGGTGATAAAATATTAAGCATAGACATCAAATTTTGACAGCTGTCAAAATCTGAAACCTGCGTATAAAGTTTTTCCATGCTTTATCATAAATAAGCATAACTTAAATAACTGAAACAGAACTAGATTTGTGTTTTTTTTTTCAACTCTTGTCAGATTCTGACGGCTGTCAAAATTTGATGTCTTTGTTGGATATTTTATCATCAATAAATTAATTTCAAACGGAAAAGAGCCCAATTGGAACAAATGACAGATTTTGACAGTTTTGTATTTTTTTTTTTTTCAATTTTTTAACTCAAAATTTACATACCTAAGTTAAAACTGTCAAATGGCATATCATGAAATATTGAAAACTGAAAAATATGAGTGCATGAGTGCTGCCTTTTGGCAGGGGTTTGACAGGTGTCAAAATAATTGACGATTTACCTTGGTCGACTTGGTAGAAATCGATACTTATTTTATCAAAATCTGCCAAAGTTACCTTGCTTTTGAATATTAGATTTCAATATTTGATAGCTGATACCGCCTCACCTGTCATATATACGAGGTTGCGCCCAAGGTGAAAAATGTTGCTTACAACAAATTTCATCCAAATATCACGGGTAACCAATTTCCGTTTAAATATTGCGGAGTCCTTTCACTGGAATCACTTGATCGTCGTAAAATTCATTTAGGTACAGGGCGTTTTTTCATATATTGACACCCCACCTATAGCCTTTACCTTTACAGGTAGAAGAAAGGTGTAAATACAGTTTTGACAAAATTTTCAGAATTCATGGTCAGAAACAAAAATTGAATGTCAGAAATGTTAAATTTTGCATGCTTCTAGCTTTTTTTAAATGAGATGGCCTATATTTGGTTCTATATTCTTGAAGAACATAATTTTCCGATTTCAAAAATATATAGTTTGTCTGTATTTGGTTGAGATGTCTCCGACATATTTAGTTCTGAAAAGTTTAAAAACACTATCACAGAAACCAAATACCTACCTCAAATTTTACCTACAGCTTTCACCTGTACAGCTGGAATAGTACACAAAATCAGTATTTTTACAATTTTTGGAGCCGAATATATAAGAGACTGCTCAACCAAATATAGACAAACTATATATTTTTAGAATCAGAGCATTGTACTCTTCAAGAATATAGAACCAAATGTAGGGCATCCGGTTTGAAAGAAACTGAAAGCATGCAAAATTTCACATTTCTGAATTCAGTTTTGATTTCTGACCATGGATTCTTAAAATTGAGCCAAAACTGTAAAACTTTTGTATTTATACCTTTCTTCTACCTGTAAAGATGAAGGCTGTAGGTGGGGTGTCAATATATAAAAAAAAACACCCGGTACAAATAAGTGGATTATTGCGGAACTTATGGGTGGACCTCTGCGGGACGAGCGCAGCGAGTTCCGCAGCCATCCACTCATCAATATACTGTTGAACTGTTCAAGTAGGACATTCATCTAAATGTAGTTTTTGAACTAATGAGAAAAACTCACAACTGAGAGAATCAAGTTAGTATTGTACTTGAATAACATATTGGTGAATAGAGGTCCACCCATAAGTTCCGCAACAATTCACTCGTTTGTACTTGAATAACTTGTCACATTATGTTACTAGTTTGGTAAAGTCACATTACTAATTCCTGTTAAAAGAAAAATTGACAAAAAGTAGATAATCTTTTTTTATAAACTTTATATAATAAGTTATTGTTCAAGTACAAATAAGTGGATTGTTGCGAAACTTATAGGTAGACCTCCGCGGGACGAGTGCAGCGAGTTCCGCAGCCATCTACTCATCAATATACTGTTAAATTGTTCAAATAAGACACTCACCTGAAACGTGTAGTTTTTAAACTCAAGACAAAAACTCACATTTGAGTGAGTCAGGTTAGTAACGCACTTAAACAACATATTGATGAATAGATGGCTGCGGAACTCGCTGCGCTCGTCCCGCAGGGGTCCACCTATAAGTTCCGCAACAATCCACTCGCTTGTACTTGAATAACTTGTCACATTATGTTACTAGTTTGGTAAAGTCACATTACTAATTCCTGTTAAAAGGAAAATGACAAAAAGTGGATAATCTTACAAATGTTACAAACTTTATATAATAAGTTATTGTTCAGGTACAAATGAGTGGATTATTGCGGAACTTATAGGTAGACCTCTGCGGGACGAGTGCAGCGAGTTCCGCAGCCGTCTACTCATCAATATAATGTTGAATTGTTCAAATAAGACACTCACCTGAAACGTGTAGTTTTTGAACTTATGACAAAAACTCACATTTGAGTGAGTCAGGTTAGTAACGCACTTAAACAACATATTGATGAATAGATGGCTGCGGAACTCGCTGCGCTCGTCCCGCAGAGGTCCACCCATAAGTTCCGCAACAATCCACTTGTTTGTACTTGAATAATTTGTCACATTATGTTACTGTAGAGGTGAAAGCTGTAGATGGGGTATCAATATATAAAAAAACACCCTCTACACTGGCAAATTTATTTTTTTCCAGAAAGCCTCCTATATCAAGTATAATTATTCATTATTATGAAAGCTGTTACGTTCGCTCTCTGTTATATTTTGTGACCTTTTGTTGGTTTTGAGGTTATCACTCAGGCTACACAAATCATTTTTGTCAGGTCGACCTACAGGGGGTTGATAAATATCGGCGAACCTGCCATTCAGTGCGGTTTCGCGTGGCCGGTCCCTGTTGTCCAGTGGCGCGTAAATTAGGATTAACACAGTATCGATAAAACTAAACACCGTTAGGTACACGAAACATGTATACGTGAAACATGACATTTTGATTGTTATTTTAATATAATTTTATATAAACGACAAGATAAGTAGTCCATATTGAAGCTATAGAATCTTCGATTGAGTCATTTTTGCTCATTATACTTGATGATCTGAGTAATTTGAACATCACTGTTACCTGGAGATCATTCAATTTTTCAAAGAGCCGTTCAATTTTTTTGGATTAG